TAAATGTTTTAACACAATAACTAAGTAAATGACACAAAGTCTATGTTAACCAGTTTGATGAAAATATTTCAAATTGTATATGAAAACACTACACTATACCCCATGTTTGCATTAATGTATACAGCTATCATTTAATAAAAAAAAAAAGTTTAGAATCAAGAGACACAGTGCTTTGACAATGGCTCTCAAAATTGTGGTATCCATGTCCTTTTTGATCCAACAAGCCTACCTCTTGCCTTTGTCTTACTAATATATTCTCACACATGAGGAATAATATAAGATCATTCTAGCAACCTTACTCATAATGGTGTGTAGCATATTGCCGTGGATGTTGAAAATAAGTGAAAGGAGAAACATATAGTGTTCAGAGTATATCACCATTTTTGTTAAAAATAATAAAAACAAAATTTGTGGCCTCCCTATGAACAAATTGCCTACATGTGAAGAAGAAGAAGTTATAAAGTGTCTGTGGTGGATGTATGGTGATCACTGGATGATTTTTTTTCAACTGTACTGTATGTTGAAAAAACTGCCTAATAAAATATTGGAAACTAAATTAATACATAAATACATAAAATATGCATCTATGGGTATAAATATTTCCAGAAGTATATGTAAGAAATCATCAATAGAGAGGTTGTCTCTGAGAAGAACTGGGTGGCTAGGGAGGGGAGTAGGGGGAAAACTTTTCACCATATAATCTTTTATACATTTAGAATCCTGTATCTTATAAATATATGATCTATTTATTCCAAATAGATTAAATTTAAATTCCTTTAAATCCTTGTAAGTTAACTAAAGTAAGTCATCTGTACAAATTCTTTACTTTTAAGTATTTTGTATTCTTTTTTTTCCTAATTAGAAAAAAAAAAAAAATATATATATATATATATATATCTCTCTCTCAAATAGCCTGTTCAGGTTACTTTGTCCCAGATTGTCCCCAGCCCTCCTCCTGACAGCAGCCTTTTAAAACTGTGCTCAGTAATTCTGGCGCCCCATTCAACATCCACTTTTCCATCTCTGCTCCCTAAATACGATCACAGATGCGCACGCACACTTCCCATACCGTACCTGGTTCAGCTTGCCTTTCTCTTCAGCGCAGGAGGCAGCTTTTCTCTGCTCTCTGTTGACTTCTGAAGCCAGCCTCATGATCGTTCCTCTGCTAGCTTTTGCCTCCATCTCATGGACATTTACAGTCTCTTCAAGAGTAACAATCTGTCCTTTCATGGATACATTTTCTTTGCACAGCTCTCTGAGCTGAAGAAAAGCAATTACAGCTATCCTGTAAAAATTAACAATTCCATGCACTTTCTCTAAAGCAACTCGCTACTCCCAATGTATTAGCAAAACAGTAAAAAATGCCTGCATGGACTCAAAGGATGACATTTTCAAAGGGAGCCTCAAAATGCTTTTGTTAGGTACAGAGCTAGTGGTCAAATTAAAATTATTCAAAAGGCAACCACAAGGCAAGGATGTGGAGAGGTAAGCCAAAAACTTCCCGACAGAACCTGCCCCTCAAGCCTCAGGCTGCAAAACCCTCCAGGGGAGGTGACCTCTGGGAGTCACCACAGGCAGGAAGGGCGGGGGTCGGATTCAGCCCACAGTCCCTGGGCCTGCTGCCTGCGGGCCGGGCCATACCTGGCTCTGGGGGAATAGAGAAGTCAGGACTATGGTTTTGTTTAATACTCTTCTAATTAATATAAGCAAAGAAAAATTCTGAATAAAGTGCTCTAACAGTGATTGTCCTTGAGGGCTGGGACTTGCAGGACTTTTTGCTTTAGGATTGCTAACTGGGAGCATTTGTAAGATTTACCAGGGGAGCCGGACACAGTGGCTCCTGTCCTTAAATCCTAGCACTCTGGGAGATGGAGGTGGGTGGATCTATTGAGCACAAGAGTTTGACACCAGCCTCAACAAGAGCAAGACCTCATCACTAAAAATAGCCAGGCAGGCGGTGCCTGTGGCTCAATATGTGGTATATGCACCGGCCCCATATACCAAGGGTGGCAGGTTCAAACCTGGCCCCAGCCAAACTGCAACAACAACAAAAAAAATAGCCAGGCTTTGTGGCTGGCGCCTATAATCCTAGCTACTCGGGAGGCTGAGGCAAGAGAATCACCTAAGCCCAAGAGCTGGAGGTTGATGTGAGCTATGATGCCAAAGCACTCTACCAAGGGTGACAAAGTAAAACTCTGTCTCTAAAAAAGCCCCACAAGACAGGGTTAATGCCAGCGTCACAACTGCCTGTGGAAGTGACCTATCTCTGAGCCCCAGTCCTCTGCCAACATGGTGCCCTGCTCCCAACGCAGCACTGCGCCCTCTCACTCAAGCACTTTTCCTCCCATTCACATGATCACTCCCCACTCCTCGGCCTTTGTTCCTAAGCTACCATCCCACACCTCTAACTTGCTTCCCTTCCCACTCCTGTATCCTGATTTGCTTTTCATCACTGCCACCCTTTACTAGGTGGGATCACAAGAGGTACTTGGTAGCTTATGTCCTCCCTATCTTTACCCCTTGATAACGAAATCTCTAGCGGAGCACAGACTCAGTCCTGACCATTCGCTGCTGTATCTCCAGCATCCAGAGCAGTGTCCAGAGCATAGTAAGCACTCCCTAAATAGCAGTGAAATGGGTATCTGAATGTCAAGCTAATTACTAGGATGCATCCTTTCCGACCATGGCTCCTTGGGCATGTGTGTGTACTGTGTGGGCATGTGGCTTTGAAGTTGGAGCAATTTTGTTCTTGGCAGGACCCCTAGTGAGGCTGCCGACTTGATCAAAACAGCAGACTTCAAGATTTTGCCCAATGGGAGGGTTTTGTTTGTTTTTTAAAGACAGACACCTGCTCAGATGGTTGGGGCACCAACACTCCAAAGTCCTACCACGTGTTGTAAACTGTAGATTTCATTATTACTCAGGGGCCGAGGCCGACAAATCAACAATCACCATCAAAACACTCATCGTCCCCAAAAGAAAAGGGCAAGCCATGCCGCACGGGGCCACATGGGGAAGCACCAGGCCAGTCAGGAGGAGAGAAGTGGGAACAACGTGGGCAAGAGGCTTTCTTGTTTCTTTCCAGGGGAGAAACGGCCAGGCAGAGCGAGCAGGCTTAGACTTGCTGGTTTCAATGGTTTTGGTGACTCTCAGGCAGTGGGACTATCCCTGAGCTGTCTGGTGTCTGACTCTGGTATCTGATCAGGGGCAAAGGGACAGTGGCCCCAGGGTCTGGAAGTGGCTCGAGTCTGGACTCTGGATTGGTCTGTTTGTGTCTGGAAGCCCTGGCGGGAAGGGCAGTCTCTCCGGGTCAGCAGGGCCCCAGACATCAAAGTGTCAGCAATACAGACAATAGGCTGGACACAGTGGCTCACACCTGTCATCTCAGCACTTTGGGGTTTGAGACAGGAGGATCGCTGCCTCAGCCAAAGTTCAAGACCAGCCTGCTCAACACAGTGAGACCCCCAGACTAGCCCGTAGAGATTGTCTCTGCTGGAGGAAAGGGTGCCCTAAAAGAAGGAGCTTCTGATTTTCCTTCACTTTTCTCCATCCCTTGGCTTGAAAGATAACCCCAAACTACAGCGGGAAGTGGGCTTTTACAGCTGAGCCCATCGTGGTCACATGTCAGCCACAGGGAGGAGGGTGAAGTGCCTCCAGCACCAGTGAGGCCATTGGGTGGACCTAAGCTAAAGGTATTGGTAAAGGGGAACACTTCCTAAAGTCAAATGAAATCACTGTGCAGCTTTCACAGAGGACACTTGAAAAGATACTAGTAGACACCCAAGAGGTAACTTCTAAAAATGGCTGCACAGAAATCTGTCAGAAAGCAAGGCTAGGAAAGGTTTGTAATTAAGCAAAGATTTCATAAGTACTCAAATACTTTCATGTACCCTAATGAAGCACTATGGGCGAACTGAACTGCTCAGTTAGTCATTAATTTCCAACTTAATGGTAGCCTACCATTAAAATAGGACTTTTACTACTAACATGCAGTATTAATGTAACATTTAAAAAGTGCATTAGACATAATCTTAACCCTACTCTCAGTAAGTATCCCAAGTGGGACACACAGTTGTGTGTGTGTTTCTGTCTGTAACTAAAAGGAAAACAACTCTCTTAAATACATCATTAAAATCAATAATTAGCTGTATATGACAACCTAAATATATCTTAGACAAAACAGTTAATCTCTTTTGGAGAATAATTATTCCAAATAATGCTAAAAAGGATCTTGGAATTGAGGCTCAGAGAGGTAATGCAGTTTGCCCCAGTCACACACTGAATTAGTGCTACCCTTGGGCTCCTGTCCCATTCTCCCTCCACCCCCACCCCAACCCCAACACTCCCTGTCATGTCACGTGTCAGAACAAGCACCATATTTAGAGTCTTTTTAATTTGCATAAAAACACCTTTAAAATTAAATCTTCTTCTGATGCCTTTTCATTCTTCCTTTCTGGATCCAGGCAGTCACCAAGTTGAGATAGAAATTCCTCGTGTTTCCTGAAGTTCTTTGAGATTTGTTTCTTACTCTCCTCATTTTCCTTTGAACACTTTCTGTTAGGCAAATAACAAATAAGTCAGGGTTTAACAGCATAGACAATAACATTCATCAAGTCGGAACCAAGCTCTCTGTAGGAAGTAGCTAATTGTCATTTTCAACACAGCAGTTTCCCAGGGCTAATTATTGTCATGCAAGCGAAGGAGAAAAGTAGAAGCCATATCAGGCCCCTATAGTGGGCAGCAATGTAGGGAAATCTGCATGGCATGGGGGACCTAGAAAGAAGAGCGGAGTCCCCATCCTCAACCAATTAAGATGCGCGAAGGGAGAGGCAGGCATCCGGAACACACCCAGACCTTTGCCACCTGTGTGATCACAGTCCACATTCCCACAATGTCTACTGAGGCTTCACAGAAGGAGGAGAGTGTTCTACGATGGTTCTAGAGGACCAGGGTTTGTTTCTCTTTCCATTCACTGTCAACGTTGTACAGTGACCCATAAGGACCACGACTAATTATAATAGATACACCAGGAAGAAAGAAGGTTCCCTCCTCTGGGAAACAGAGACATTCAATCACAAGCAAAAGTCACAGTCAGTTTTCACACAGCCTGAGTCTTTAAGAAGTCTTGGAAGAAAGAAAAGGAAGTCAGTTTATCACCTGCACTCCCGTGTTTATTGAAGCCTTACTCACAATAGCCAAGATATGGAATCCACTTAATGGATAGATGGATAAAGAAAATGCAGTATTATTCTGCCATATGAAAGAATGAAACCCTGTCATGAATATGAACATGACATGAATGCAACTGCAGGACTTTAAGTGAAATAAGTCAGGCACATAAACAGAAATACTTCATGTTCTCACATGTAGGAAGCTAAAAGAAATTGAGCTCGTAGATGTAGAGAGTGGAATTGTGGTTATCAGAAGGTAGAGAGGTGTGGAGGAAAGGAGAGAGAAGTTGGTTAACAGACACTAAGTTACAACTAGCAGGAGGAATCGTTTCCAGTGTTAGGTAGCGCTGCAGGGTGAATACAGTGAGCAATACTTTAGCGTATATTTTTTAAAAGCTAGAAGAGGATTTTGAACGTTCACAACACAAAGAAATGATAAATGCTCAAGACGATAAATGTGCTAATTAGCCTGATTTGATCATTATATATTGTATACACGTGTCACAATATCACTCTGTATCCCATAAATATGCACAATTATTATGTGTCAACTAAAAATGTACCAGGAAGAGTATTAGAAGAGTATTGGAAACAGGCAGTCAAGGAAAATCAGATTTATGGTGTGATATGAATGTTTTACTTCAAATCTCAGGTAGGCTTGAGGAAATAATGCTTTAAATGTTAGAGGCTAAGAGATCATCAAAAAATGGACATACTCTAAAGGCAAATTAGAATCATTTTAGTAATTTAGCATCCTTTTTTTCAATATCCTAGATAATAAACCTGATTATTGCTTTTCCTTTTTATCATGTTGAGTGTTTACTGCAAATTCTTTCATTCTATTCAAGGAGTAACAAAGCATGTAATTGCAGATACTCAAAAGCATCTCATACGTCTATTTAGAAAAATGTGTAACCGTAAAAGACTAACATCACTATATCTCTGAATTCTTATTTTTAGCATATGAAAGGTAATATTTATTCAGTCTTTCAGACCCATAGGAAGCACAGTTAATGAATGATATGATGCTGATTGATTTATACATATGATCCCATATATTAACCCCAAGTTTTCAATATTATTTCTTCATTCCAAAGGGCTGTAAAAACTTCCACTTCTAGTCACATTTCACTTGACCCAACAAAGTTTCAGTATCTATCCTAAGAACATAATCACATAAGATATTCATTGCAGCTTAGGTTATAAAATTTTTTTAAATAAGACTAACCTAAGTTCCCAAAGGAAACAACAAAGGGAATTGATTGAGTAATTTACAATATTTCAAGCAATGGAATATAATGGACTATTTAAAATAATATACTAAATGATTTTTTAAATATTTACAACATATTATTCGGTAAAAATATTACATATCATCATTTGCACACACCTGTCTGAAATTCTCTTCAACAAAATATTAGCTATAGTTTTTCTGTAGTCATAAGGTTTTGAGGAATTTTAATTTCTTCTTAGCATTCCTCTGTATTTAAAAAATTATAAGCATATATCGTTCTTTTGACTCACTTATTTAATAAACACTTACTGAGCACCTACTGTGCACCTGTCCACATTAAAGGTGCTAAAGGTACAATAACAAACAAAACAGATGAAAATCCTTGGCCATGGAAGCTTATGTTCTAGCTGGGAAGATAGACAATAATGGAAATATTAATATACGTAAAACATATAGCCTGTTATAAAAGGACTGGAGAAGAATAAGCAGAAAAGGGGGTAAGAAATATTGAGGGGTGAAATTTTAGACATGTACACACAGACGACCCCACTGAGAAGACGCCTTCTGAGTAAAGGCCTAAATGAATGAAGGTGGGTCAGCCATGCAGCAGCGGGGAAATTGCCTTGCAAGCAAAGGGACGAGCCTTTGCAGAGGTCCTGAGGTACCATCACTTCTGTGGGCCAAAAGCAGCAAATGCAGGTTGGAATGAGCCTTTGAGTCGTGGAAAATACTGTCTTTACCCTTAGAAGAGAAGTTGCTGAATGCTCTGAGCCAAGGATTGATGTAATCTGATTTGTGTTTTATTAACAGGGTCACTCTGGCTACAGGGAGTGCCATCAGAAGAAGGAAAGCCACTGCAACAAAGGGAATGTCTGTGTCCCCCAGGGAGTTCATATGTTTAAGCCTTAATCCCCAATATAATGGTATTTGGAAGTGGAAGTGGGGCCTTTGGCAGGCAATTAGGCTCCGCCCTCATGAGTAGGATGAGATGCAAGAGAGATGACCGCTCTCTGTGCAGTGTGAGAACACAGCAAGGGGGCATCATCTGCAAACCAGAAAGGCCTTCAGCAGGAATTGCACAGGTCAGCACCTTGATCTTGGACTTTCCAACCTCCACAACCACGAGGAATAGCTTTCTGCTTTAGAAACCACACAGTTTATGGTATTTTTGCTATAGCAACTCAAATTGACTCAGACAGAAATTGGTACCAGGAGTGGGTGCTGCTGTAATGAATACCTATTGCAGTAATCCAGGTGAGAGATGATAGTGGCTGGGCCCAAGAGAGTGGTAACGAAGGTGAACAAAATTTAAATTCATTTTGAGGATAGGTATGATGGGATTTGCTGAAGAAAAAGGCACTGAGTGTGAGGGAGAAAGAGAACACAGGATGATACCCAGAATTTTGACCTAATGAACTAAAAGAATGGAATTATCATTGCATGAAATGAAGCAAAGTACAGGAAGATTTTGTGGAAATACCAAGAGCTCAGTTCGAGACACATTAAGTTTCAGATGGCTGCTGAACATCCATGTGGAAATGTCTAGTAAGTAGTAAGATGTGTGAGTCTTGGGTTCCGGGAGGAGAGCGAGGCTAGATATCAAAATGTGGGAGTCAGCAGCATTTAGCCGTGAGATCACCAAGAGAGTGGATTTAGATAAAAATGAGAAGAGGGTCAAAGACTGAGCTCGGAAGCACGCCCAGATTTCAAAGATGAGGAGGCCAGGAGGAACAGCAAAGCAGATGGCTAGGAAAGTAAGATAAAAACTGGGTGTGTAGGATGCCTGGGGAAGCCCAGGGAAGTAAGTGGTTCAAGTAGAAAGATCTACAGTGACTGATACTGCTGATTAGTTACATAAGAAAAGATGGACCCTTCAACCTGCACTGTGCACTCACCGGTGACCTTGACAAGTGGTTTCCAGTGAAGCATATTCAAGACAGAGGGGAGGGGAGACACATTGGAGACCATGAGTCCAGGCAACATTTAAGGGGTTAAGGAGAGGAACAGAACAGTAGCTAATAATATTATTTTTTAAGAAGAATTAAAGTAAATAAAGCATTTTATCAATAAAGATATTTAAATCATAGGTAGAATGTTTTAAAAGTATTTCAGCAACAACTTGTTCCTTATTTTTTTTTTCATTCATTATCTCTTGTCAGAACACAGTGTGGAAAACCTAGGTCTGGTAAGTTCTCTGCATAAACGGGCAGACCTACAGAGGGGTGCCCAGGGTGGCTTGGAGTCGTCTGGCTCCTGGGATATTTGTGTAACCAGCTACTGAATAAAAGCTTCCCACTCACTGTGCACTACCCCACCACCTCCAGGTAAATCCTCTACTTAGAATCATTTTCTGAATTGTGTATATAAGCATTTGTAGTCCTAATGGATAGAGCATAAATGCATTGCTTAGGACAATGCTGTGTTTGTTGGCATTCTTAGCGACATTGAGAAATAAGCCTGGGAAAATGTTTTTTAAGACTCCAAAAAATATTCGAGGTCAAGAAATAATTTTTTTCCCCCGAATCGAGTCTCAGGACCAACTAATGCAAAATGCCAGTACATTCAACGATGTATCCTGCTATCAAAAGCTCATATCCTGCTGCTAGCTACACTGAGAAATACGCTGCAGCCCCCTTACTGTAATTTTTCGTCTAGTTCCACGATTTTCTTCTTTAATTCCTGGTTGTCCTTGATTGCAGACTGAGCTGCGATTTCTGTTCTGATTTTAGAATTGGAAAGCGCCGCTGATTCTTCTTCTAACTCCTGAACTCTGTCTCTCAAGGAGGTGAGGAGAGATGATTTTCTGGCGCTGTTTTCTTTGTAGCTCTCCATTTCAGCCTTCAGCTCCTGACAGGAGGCTTCTTTAGAAAGCATCTTGGATCGGAGGTCTCGAAGCTACCATGGGAAAAAAACGTTAAACAAAAAAGGGCGGGGGGGGGGGAAGAACTTAACAATATAAGTTTGAAGTATCTCTAAGAAAGCCAAAACTACAATTTAAAATGTTCTGCTTTTATTCATGACTTAATCCGATTTCTTTTCTTTTAAATATTTGTATCTATCTTACCAAATGGGAAGTTATACCTAAGGAATCAACATCATGTTCTGTCTCTTTCAAAAAACGTGCATTGTCTTACGCTGATTTAGTTTCACTCTCCAGGAGACATTTGTGATACGTATCTCAAAAAAAGCAATAAAATATTTTGTAATGGTTACCCATTTCTAAATCCATGTTACTGCTATTGCTGTTGATAAACAGTGAGACCAAGAACCTACAAGCCATATTGTTTATAATTTCATAGCTGTTAACTGTTTCCCAAGTAAATACAAACTATTCGATGTATCACTAAATTTCTCCGGCTTGTCTTCTGGACTCTAACTGTGGGTCATAAAGAAAAATAATATGCCAATTTCTGGGTAAAACATGGAAGAAAAGGGAAATCCTTACAATATTTATACAAAGGCAACATTTTCACTTGTATGAGTTTTGTGGCAAAATGCTAAACAACATATGCGCACTATAGAGTTAGGATGTCAAATCTACCCTGTAAGAAAACTTCATGAAAGTGTACAATTAATTCTAACAATTAAGTTCTCAAATTCATCCTAGAAAAAGTGATACATAGCCCATGGATGAACATCACCATGGCCACCTTTGAAGTGCTCCCCTTGGGAAGTTGTGTACCAATGCCAGCATCTAGTCCACCCTTGAGCATCAGAGCCGTCGCTGTATGAGTTCTGACAGTCAAGTTCACAAACTTGGCACCATGCACTTCTGTGGGAAGCACTGTACAAACAACTCGGTAAGGTCTCATAACCTTGGTCATCAGTATCTCGTAGCTGTGTTCATGTAAATGTATGGCAGTGTCTTGCTGAGTGGCATTCGCTATTGTTGTTACATATATTTGAGTGCCGTATGACAACAGCTCTGATGGTCATTCCAGAAAAAGAATTCTGAAATTGTTTTGAAGGGTGGACTCAGCACTGGCTTCAGTGCATAGCTTCCCAAAGAGGGTACTTCAAAGATCACCATAAGGGATCCTCAGCAATAGGAATGCAGCTCTTTTTCTAGGATAAGTTTGCCAGACTTTTGTCAGACCTTGTATACTTATTTAGAATGGTGAGTACATATATATACATTTATTCACGCACACACATGCATCAACTTATCTTTCTGTGTGGTTCAGGCAGCCTTAGTGAAACCTTACAGGCCTGTCTAGGACACCTCAAGCTACCAGGCTATGAGCGGAATGAGCTTAGGGAGGCTTTCTCAGAAACTCCCCTCTAGACCTGATGTAGCCTGGAAAGTAGATGGATCTCAGACGTCTTCTGAGATTCCCCAACCAAGTTGGAACTATCACAGGAGTTCAGAATTCCAAATTACAGGCAATCTTCATTAAATAAATAAATCTTCATTAAATATACTGGGAGAGGCGAAAGTTCTCCAAGGCCCATAGACCATCCACCCAAATCCTCAGGTGCCCCTGTCTTTCAAGGCTGTGTAGCTCCTCTGGGATTGAAAACCCAGCCCAAGCCACCTTACTTTGCAGCACGGCAAATGCATAACCTTGTAGAAATTCTAGGAGATAGGCCCACAGTAAGAGGATTAGTGTCACTGTTGCCAAGAGGTTTAAATCTGTATCCCACTGTCTTGTTTCTAATTGTCTCTAAGCTCTCTTTTATTTTATAAGAAGCTAAGAAGGCCCTTTTCTAATTGGTAGAGATGCATAACCTTACCTCGGACTGGGCACATTCGAATTTGACCAGAGTTGCTGCAAGTTCACTTCGGGCATTTTCAGCCAGGTTCCGATGGTGGTTTAATTGCTCCCGAGTAACCTGAACATCCAGAAGATGATCATAAGTTTCCTGGTAGAATTCCCCAAAAGATAAAATATAAAAAAGACCATTAATTTTTTTCTGTGCAGCTATGCAAAGCAAAATTAAAGACAGAAGCATCCTTGGCATCCCAAATGTGTCCAAGTGCCACCCAGAAAGTACTGTTTTCCAGACCATTTTGTTCTTGTTCTCAAAATTCAAAGAGAGGCAGGAGGCAGCCCAGGCACAAATGATGCACACCCAGGATGACGGTGATACATGGCATTTAAGAATTACCCAATTGGCTCGGCACCTGTGGCTCAAGCGCCTAAGGCACCAGCCACATACACCTAAGGTGGTGGGTTCGAATCCAGCCTGGGCCCACCAAACAACGATGATGGCTGCAACCAAAAGATAGCCAGGCATTGTGGCGGGCGCCTGTGGTCCCAGCTGCTTGGGAGGCTGAGGCAGGAGACTCGCTTGAGCCCAGGAGTTGGAGGTTGCTGTGAGCTGTGATGCCACGGCACTCTACCCAGGGCTTGAGGTTCTGTCTCAAAAAAAAAAAAAGGAATTACCCAATTGGCCTTTGCCACTGTAGAGAATTTCCCTCCACCCAACTGAAATGCTATTTGACCTTTGCCTAGAATCAACAGTCAGAAGAGAATCAACACTACATACTGTGTCAGAGGGAGACAGGGTAGTTTTCATTGTTCTCCTGTTTCCAGATCACAAAAATGATCAATTCTTCTCTTGTCTGTTGAATAAGGGGTCTCGTTTATGTATTTAAAAGATCATGTGATCTAAATGTAAAAAGCCATCTCCTTTATAATTATCAACTACGCTTTTTATTCTCAGTCTGATCACTTCTCATGGGCTGATGAAGTTGATTCAAATGAATGCATAAGGTTAGGAACAGGGTGGCTGTGCATGGCCACACCAGGCCCATCTAGAAGGGAGTGGTTCTCAGCTCCACTGATGGCTGCTGATGCAGAAATCGGGATATCAGCATGGCTAAATCATTCCGATTTTTCAGGACAAGCCATATATCCAAACTTTTTGGATATATATAAAAATTCCAGCATTGGCAGCTTGGCAGCCAATTTAAATGTTTAAAAAAGAACCACATACTGGCACCTGTGGCTCAGTGAGTAGGGCACCGGCCCCATACACCAAGGGTGGCAGGTTCAAACCCGGCTCCGGTCAAACTGCAACAAAAAATAGCCAGGCATTGTGGCAGGCGCCTGTAGTTCCAGCTACTTGGGAGGCTGAGGCAAGAGAATCGCTGAAGCCCAGGAGTTAGAGGTTGCTATGAGCTGTGACACTGTAGCACTCTACCAGGCAACATAGTGAAACTGTCTCAAAAAAAAGAAAAAAAACCCAAACATCCACCTCTTTGGAAAAGACATGCAAGAAAGCCATTCATTTCTGAAGGAATATAAAAGAGGTCGCATAAAGTAGGCTCTGCTGGAACATCTATGTAAATGGCGTCAGCGGGCTCATCAGGAAAACTCATTTATGACTGCCAGGGACTTCTGTTTGATATACTTATGAATGCTAACTTATCTTAAAGTCCTTAACTTCACAACAAATGTTGTCACGACTAGTGTGAGTCAACCTACCAAATGTCAAGGAAAACCTTCAGTACTTAGTAACAGCTGGTGTTTGCCAATCACAACACAATCAAGATGACGGTAGATGTGTACGCTGGGGGGAAGCAGAGCAACGTTCAACGGAACCGCTTATCAGAAAACCATGTTCAGACTCCCGCAGTTGTCAGACGGGTCTCCGCCCTTCTCCCCACACAGGTGTACTTCCTAAATAAGGCTGGGTGAGGATGGAGGTCACGTAGGAGAGATTTGGCCTGCTGTGTATAGTGCACCATTTTATAAATTTTTTAGGAAAATAAGTTCCCCAAAGAATTATGGGAAAATCTGATTATGTCTTTCAGTGACTGACATCTTCTTTTTTAGGAAATGATGTCGTCGTCGTACCATTATCTCATATCTCCTCCCTATAAAAAGTATTGTATCTAATGAATATGCATATGCTATTATGAGCAAGATAACACAATCCATAAATGGTCCTTTGTTTTAGGAGGTTGCAATCTAATGTAGAACAGTACCAAAAGCATTACTATCTTCAAATGTTCATGGGTGAAAGAACTATGTATTAAGATATCATTACAAATTGTATATGAAAACACTGCACTGTACCCCATGTTTGCCTTAATGTACACAGCTATCATTTAATAAAAAAAAAAAGATATCATTACCTTGACACTGAAGCATGACCTCCTTGATTACTGAGTTTAGAAAATAGTTGCTGAGTCCAAATTGCCCTTCAGAGTCCAGCTAACTGGGGATTATCCACTAACGAATATTTATCTAAAGACTACTCTGCATCAGGCACTGAGCTTACTGTCTAATAAAGGAAAGAGTATTTATCAAATAATCACATTAACGATTGCAGAATTTCAAACTGAAATAAACACAAAAGACAGGAAAAACAGATAACAAAGGAAATTGATTTAAGAATAGGGAGGTGGGCTCGGTGTCTGTGGCTTGGTGGCTAAGGCGTCAGCCACATACACCTAAGGTGGCGGGTTCGAAGTCAGGCCCATCAAACAACAATGATGGCTGCAACTGGAAAAAAAAAAAAATAGCCAGGCGTTGTGGCGGGTGCCTGTGATCCCAGCAACTTGGGAGGCGGAGGCAGGAGACTCACTTGAGCCCAGGAGTTGGAGGTTGCTGTGAGCTGT